GCTCATGTTCATCTTGGAGTCAGTAATGACTCCAAGATCCCTTTCCGCCTCTCTGCTTTCAAGAAGGGAACTCCCCAACCTGTATGTATGTTACCAGCCAGCACTTCTCAGTTTGTAGGGTTGATGCCACCCTTCTTAAGGTGTGTATTCAGGGTGTCCTTGTAGCACTTCCTGCCCTCTTACCATGACTGAATTGAAAGAAAAGGACTTGCTTTGGGAGACAAGTGTCAGCCATCCACACACAGTGGCCAGACCAGTGGAGTTGATGTTTCATGGTGCCTCAAAGCTGGTTATGTTAGCTGCAGAGAGGATGCTGGCATTGGAGCAGTGGTCTTCCCATCTAACGAGAGAGACCTTCCTGAAGTAACGTTGATGGAACTATTCCAGGCACTTAAGATGGCTTTGATATGTCACCATGTCTCTTACCCATAGAAGAGCATGGGCATAACCGTTGCACTATAGACCAGCGTCTTAATTTCTGTCTGCAGAACTTTATTGACAAAGACATGGTGAAGCAGCATTCCGAAACAATTCACTGTACTAGCGCATCCATCTTTGATTTCTACATCAAGTCTGACTGGCTGGGAGAAGTGACTGCCAATATATGGGAAATTCTCAATGTTTTCCGTGGGTTCTCCACCAATGGTAATCTGTTGAGGGAGGCAGAGAAGCTTGTGCTGGGGCAGACTGATGGAGCACCTTGGTCTTCCCCAATATTATGGGAGAGTCCCAGGGTATGATAGGCACCTGAAAAAGGTCAGGGTGGACTGCAGATCAGTCTGTGTGCACATGGATAACAGTTGTCCGCATGCTAAAGGTCAATGATGGCAGTCTTGGTAACTTTCATTTTGCAGTGAAAGCGCTGCCGGTTTAAAAGCTGAATGTCCATTCGATACTCAACCCCAATGCAAGGAAGCGAGTAGTCATGGCTGAGAAATAAAATCACAGCAAGATAGATACAGAAAAGTGTTGGGGCAGTGATGCAACCCTGCTTGACACTACTACAAATGGTAAATGGGTCTGTCTCTGATCTACTGCAAAGGACTGTGGCGGTCATCCCTAAGGACACTGAATTTCAGTGGACAACCAAACCTAGCCAGCACCTTCCATAAGCCTTCACGATTGATGGAGTTGAAGGTCAATGAATGCCATAAACAACTCCTCGTGTTTCTCACTATACTTCTGGATCTGTTGTGCAACAAAAGTCATGTCGGTGGTATTCTGAGATGGTGTAAAGCCACACTGGGATTCTGGGAGGGCATCTTTGGCAAGGGGGAAGAGACGATTTAGATGGATGCGAGTAAAAATCTTTCCAGCAATGGAGAGGAGGGCAATGCCTTGGTAGTTCCCACACTGACTTGTCCCCTTTCTTGAAGATGGTCACAATGTTGGCATTTTTTAAGTCGGGTGGAGCTTCCTCATAGTTTCATAGTTGGTAGGGTCTGAAGGGACCTGAGCAGATCATCAAGTCTGACCCCCTGCCATGGCAGGAAAAGGTACTGGGGTCAAACGACCCTTGCAAGGTGTTCATCTAACCTCCTCTTAAAGACCCCCAGGGTAGGAGCCAGCACCACTTCGCTTCGGAAGTTGGTTCCAGATCCTAGCCGCCCTGATAGTGAAGTAGCGCCTCCTGATGTCTAGTCTGAATCTACCCTCTGCCAGCTTGTGACCGTTATTTCTTGTCACTCCTGGTAGTGCTCAGGGGAACAGGGACTCCCCCAGTGCCTGCTGGTCCCCTCTGACTAGTTCATAACAGGCCACTAGATCCCCCCTCAGCCTTCTCTTGTGGAGACTGAACAGGTTCAGGTCCCTCAGCCTCTCCTCGTAGGGCCTGCCCTGCTGCCCCCTGATCATGCGGGTGGCCCTCCTCTGAACCTTCTCAATGCTGTCCACATCTCCTGAAGTGCGGTGCCCAGAACTGGATGCAGTACTCCAGCTGCGGCCTGACCAGTGTCGCATGGAGGGGGAGGATCACCTCCTTGGACCTGCTCGAGATGCATCTGTGGATGCATGACAAGGTACGGTTGGCCTTCCTGACTGCATCCCCACACTGTTGGCCCATGTTCATTTTGGCATCAATAATGATTCTAAGATCCTTTTCTGCCTCTGCACGGACGAGAAGGGAGTTCCCCAGCCTGTAGGTATGCTGCTGGTTCTTCTGCCCATCCCTGTAACCTCTCCAGGTCCAATTGCATCCTATTCCATCCTTCTAGCATGCCCACATCCCGCCACATCTTAGTGTCATCAGCAAATTTGAATAGGGTGCTTTTTGCCCCCTTATTAACCCGTATTTTGATGAGAAGTTGGTGGAGGTTTTGTACTAGTGTTGTTCCATCAGCTTTGAAGAACCTCTGAAGGAATGCCATGT